CAAGTCTGGCTAGACCAGAAGGTATACACTGGTACAGATAGGAACTGGAAACACAGGGAATACAGGGCGGATGATCCCTTCAGGACCAGTGGTGTGAGTGCCGATACTGGGAGTATAGAGGGAGGGTGGGTTGGAAAGGAGGAACCAATTACAAGGATCTACATGTGACCTCCTCCCTGGGGGACGGACAACAAAAAGTGGGTGAAGGGAGACATCGGACAGGGCAAGATATGACAAAATAATAATTTATAAATTATCAAGGGTTCATGAGGGAGGGGGAAGTGGGGAGGGAGGGGAAAAAAATAAGGACCTGATGCCAGGGGCTTAAGTGAAGAGCAAATGTTTTGAGAATGACGAGGGCAATGAATGTACAAATGTGCTTGACACAATTGATGTTTGGATTGTGATAAGAGTTGTATGAGCCCCTAATACAACGATTTAAAAAAAATTTTTTTTAAAGAGGAAGGCAGAATTGTATTTCAGTAGGAGATTTCAGAGCCAGTGGTGTTGACGTGGTCCAAGACCGGATTTCCAAGCCCTGCTCTCTGGGAGAAAGACAGGACTTTCTACTCCCGTAAAGTTACCGTGCAGGAAACCCTCAGGCGGTTGTGTGCCCTGTCCTAGAGAGAGTCACTGTGAATGGAGTTTGCATCCCCTCAGTGTCTGCAGGCCCTGGAGGAACCCCGTCTCCAGCAACACCCAGAAAACATACCCGTCCTGAGGAAGGCTTGGGACACAGGCCCACCTGCCCTCCCGTGGCCTCGGGACTCCTAGAGTTCTCACAGTGAGCCGATTGCAGCCAGGGCCCTGAACTAACATGTATACATTGTTCAGTGGAAAACCAAATTGCTCTCTAAATGTTCACCCAAACTACAATTAAAACCCAAAGAAGAGTCTTTGAGGAATCTTCCAAGCCTGGAGTTCGTTAAAATATGATGGATTCTGGCTTTAAAGGGAGAAGACAGACTCCTCCCACCCACCGAAAAGATGCGGGAAGGAGGCTGGCCGCTTGGCCTTCAGCCCGTCCCTAGAGTTGCTCATGAATAGACCAGGGTGGGGGGCTGACAAGGGTCTAGAGGGCAGCCTCTGCTGGCCACACAAGTTGTTGATGTGTGGAAAGGGCCAATGGAGGGCAGCAAGGAGGCGGGTCTCAGCCAAGGCGTGCTTAAGCTCACTGGCCCTGCTGCCTCCCTCCCAGCTACTGTTAAGCTCCGTGAAAATTCAGACACACTCTGAGTGGTTCTGCTCTCCCAGTGACCCCTGCACAGGGCCATGGTAGACACCACATTCAGATGTCTGCATTTCAAAGAGTCCTCCCTGCCCTAGGACACGGGACTTGGGGGACGGGGGGCAAGGGAGCTCTATGGGTTCCGCTGTGGGTATCCGGCGATGTTGCCTCTGATGACCACCACCCCTCCAGGGAGCAAACATCCCCCACTCAGTGCGCCCTGTGGTCCCAGGGAAGTCCCAGGGCGCATCCCAAAGGATCAGCCCAGAGGTGCACACAGGACCCAAGCTGGATCTATCAGAACCCATGGGTGCCTGTCTCAGGAATTCGGCACAGCTTGGGCAGAGCGTGCTTCAAGCCAGTAGAATGGGCGCCCAGAGCCACCTCTTGGGTGGGAATCTGGCCATCTGATAAGAGATGAGGCACACTATTTGAGGTCTTGGGTCCAGCTGTGCCTGGGGGGGAGTGGGGTGTGTGTGGCTCTTTTCTGCCTCCATATGGACCTCATTCCTTTGTGTCCCTCCGTGTGTGTGTGTGTGTGTGTGTGTGTATGTGTGTGTGTGATGTGTGTATGTGTGTGATGTGTGTATGTGTGTGGTGCGTGTGTGATGTGTGTGTATGTGTGTGGGGTGTGTGTGTGTGCATGCGTGTGTGGGGGGGGTGCGTGCGTGCGTGGTATGTGTGTGTGGTGTGTGTGCATGCGTGTGGTGTGTGTGTGCATGCGTGTGTATGTGTGTGTGCGTGCGGGCGGGTGTGTGCGTGCGTGTGTGTTGGGCTTCTCTCCAGGCTGATGGGGTGCAGACGCAGAACTCCTGGTGATCCGCACTGAGTCCTTGGCGCTGGTGCAGCTGAGCAACGGGGATGTAGGGAGAAGCATTCTCGATGCCCTCCGCAGAGCTGGGCCAGGAACAAGCCCGTCACTGGCCAGGGGCTGGTGGACCCCTCACCAAACAACACAGCGGGATAGCAGCAGCTTTGTGTGTGGAACTTTATCATTTGTAAAGCCATACAATGGATCGCAAGGAAACAAGAGCTGTACAGGGCGTGGGCACAGCGTCAGTGTTCGATACATTCATATCCAGGTCAGTTGCATACATATACATAGGGGCAGAGGTTACGGGCACGAGGATACAAAATATAAAGTATATTTCCATCTACATAAATACACACCTGGGGGTAGGGAGGAGGCTGGGCTTAGCGGGTTTTCCTGGGGAGGGTCCGAAGGTAGGTTGCGGTGGGAGGAAGTGGGGAGGGATTTCTTACATTTGTTTTGAATGACGTGTCAGAAAGAGGACATGGGGAAACACAGCACACACACAAACACAGACATGTGTGTGCACGCATGTGCGTGCACACACTCCACACGTGGGCATTCAGGAGAGTTTCAAACCGTTTAACACTGATTAGAAAACAAGCTACTTGGGGCAGCCCTCCACAGGAACCTGGCCGCTGGGAGAGCCCGGCAGTTGGGAACAATCAGAGCTCCTCCAACGCTTTGCCCCTTTCCAGCAGAGGAGTTGAAAACAAACAGAACTGCCCCTGCCCCACCCCAGGTGGCCTGAGGCCCACCCTCACCACGGCTCAGGGGCCACCAAGCCACAGCCCGCACACCCTGCTGCCTCCTGAGTCTGTCCGTTGCCAGGTGCTGTGGAGCCTGACATCCCCTAAGCTCCCTAAGGAGAGGAGCACTCTGCCCCCACACACGTCCACACTTGCGCGCACACATCCACATCCACATCCTATGTCACCGCTGGCCACGGAAGCTCCCATCTCAGGATTCCGGGACCTCCATGAAGAGGTGGCTGCCAGGTCTAGCCCCCCACTGCTCCCAAGACCCTGGGTGGGGGAAGGAGAAGGCTGGGAGGCAGCCCTGGGGTGGGGCACTGGGCCCACCTGACCTCAGGTAGGACCTGGAGCCAGGGAAAAAAAGGATCTTGGGGAGACTGCAATCAGGGTGAGTGGACAAAGGCCCCGAGCCAGGACCAATGGCGCCCTTGCCCATGGCCTCCTCTGAAGTATGCAGCTCCCAAGACAACTCAAGGGCCTGCCCAGCCTCTACTCCGATCCCTGCTCTTGCTCTGGGCAAGCCATTCCCAGGAGCGTTTCACTCCTCCAGCTGACCATCCCCACCTGTCAATCACCACCGGCCGCCCCCTGGGGACACCTCCAACACCATCATTGTCCACAAGCCCCCAGAGCTGCTGAGGGAGAGGGTCAGGCAAGGACGGAGGATCAAAAGGCCTCACCCAAACATAGTGTAAAACATCAGCCCCTCCAACCACATGGAGCCAGTCCCCATGGAGGGTGGTCAATAACTCGTCTCCTCCCCCTCTTCCCTCTCAATGCACCTTGCTACTGTCACCGGGCCCAACTCTCCCCTCTTGTTCCACCTGGGAACAGCCACCTGGGCCTCCTGCATTGCTGACTCAGAGAGCTGTCACCCCGTCTTCTCTCCTGATGCACCAGCCCGACAGGCCAAGGCAGAGCCGCAGCAGACCTGGTGGGACAGAGGATCATGCTGGGCCCAAGCGGGGAAGCTACACCTGCCTAGAGTCTGCACCCAGGCTACCTTGAGCTGCTCTCTCCGGTCAAGTTCTCCCACACCCTTTCTTAGGACCAGATCACACTCTCCCGGAGGACTGAGAAAGAGATTCAACCACAAACAGCAGCAAACGAGGTTGGGGGTGGGGGGGTGGGAAGAGGACGAACAGACGGAACACGCATTTACAAAACAGTAACAATCATCATGAAAAGTGCTTTCTTGGAAAGGGAATTCTTTGGCAAGAATATATTGCATGCTGTGTGGGATGTTGGTGTGGGCCTGGGTGCACGGAGCCCACCTAGGGGGTGGGCTCCCCGGGGTGAGGGGATGGGGAGCTACAGTGTCTGGTCCAGCCAGGGACCCTGTGGGGGCCAGTGAAGCTGCCACAGCAGTCTCCCGGGAAGGAAGGGCCAGCTCACACGGTGGCAAACTCCTGTCAGTAGGGCCTCTCACACTCTAGGAAACCTGGCCTTCCAGACACGGGCCTGGGTCTTTCCGGAAGGGTCACCCGTGGCTCAGGCCTGCCTTGAGGGGGCGCTGGCCGGGCTGGGAGGTGGGCTGCTGGTGGGCAGTGGCTGTGGGAGAGTGAATGTGGACCTGAAACACAGCGCAGAAGGGCGGGTGCTCCCTGCCCCCAGGCTGTTCAGTGGGCAGTGGTGTCTGTACAAAGGCTAGGGCAGGGCAGGCTAAGGCCGGGGTCACCTGGAGAATGAGCAAAGGGGAGGACCCAGGGATCTGGCCTGAATGCCTCAGAAGAAAGGGGTCCAAAAGAAGCTTTGGCCACCAAGCTCAGGGGTTCGCTCTTTGGGGAGCCCCTGCCCGCCCCCTCCTCAAGACACTATTCCAACTCCCTGAAACCGAGTGGCCATGCAGATCCAGCCTCTTGGAGGAGAAGCAGTACAAAAGACGTGCCCACCACCCACGTCCAGCCCACCCCCAGGTCCCTCCCTCAGGCCCTCAGCAGCAGAGCCAGCACCCCCCACCCACCACCCCCACACACACCTCTGAAAACCGACTGCTGGGCCCTGGGCTTGCTGGGAGATAGAGGAGACAGCCCCCTCCCCACTGAGTCCTGGGTAGCATCCTGGAAGATCAAGGGCAGGGGGGAGGAGGCTCCTGGTCTTCCAAGGATAAGACCCCCACCTCTCAGGCTGCAGTAATGCACATGAAGACTGAGAAGGTCAGGTTTATGCCTGGGGAGGTGATGGAGTCATATGGGGAAACAATAAATACTTGTCAATTTGCCTATTTTTTTTTACTTTTTCTTAAATTTTATTAGCTTACAGATTCTGTCAGTATGTCTCACGTATATATTATATATATTTATATATCAGTACAATGCCTCTCTCTAGAGGAGCCCCCATAGGCAGGCGTATGAAACACCACCAGAATAGAACCCTGGTGAACTCTCTACTATGGCTTCGAGTCCTGGGGTGGTACCAGGGTTGGTCCCAGCGGCCCCGGGAGCCCCGGGCCCTTGATCTAAAGGCCTGCCTTCTGTCCATCCTCTGCTCCCGGGACAGTTGTTGGTGCTGCTGGGGAGACCAAGGCAGGAGGAGGAACAAAGAGGCTTTGGCATTGGGGGGCGGGGGGGGGCAGGCCAGGTGGTGCACAGGGAAGGGTCCCAGAAGCTCAACTGTTATCATCCCTGGCAGGCCGAGCCAGAGGGGACCTGCGGCACTCGGCGGCCTGGAGAACACAGTGCTAGGGCTGCGGGCTCCTCCACCGGCCTCCGGATGCTGGTGGCCCAGGCTGAGGCCAAGAGGGGGGCCTGCAGGGTGAGGCTGGGCCAGGCAAAGCAGGAAGACTCCATTCCCCATACCCGAAAAGGCATCATGCAGGCAGCAAGTCGGTGATAAGGCTGGTTGTGGGGCGAAAATACCCCAGGTTGGGGCTGAGAGAGAGGGGCTAAGGCGGACTCCAGGGAGCTGGTGGGAACAGCTTGCCTCACCTGCCGGTCCACATGCCAGCAGAGGCCAGAGCTCATTGGATGCCAGTTGGGTACACATATCCTGACCTCCTCGGGTCAAAGTCCCCCACCCCAACGCTGTAGGCATAGGGTCTTTGTGGAGGAAAGGGGGCCAGCGGCAGCAGGGGTTGCTGAAGCTGTGGGTTGGGCAGCAGGAGGGAGCATGTGACTCCAACAATGGCTCATGTCCCCTCCCTGCAGACCAGCTCCCCTGCTTTCTGGGCCCCCCAGGTGCACAAGCGTGTGCAAGCCCCTGTGGGGCAGGTGCCTGTGAAGCCGCTTCTATTTCTAGTGGCCAGAGGCCCAGAGAACCCCAGCTGTGAGCCATGGGGCCATGGCCGGACAAAGCCCACCTGCCCAAGGTGGAGCCAGGAACCTTGGGGTGCCTCGGGAGCCCAAGAGACTTCAAAGGGCCAAAGGGTGGCCCTGAGCAGCCCCTCTGGGCAGTTAGGTTCGAGAGGCGGAGATGGCCCATTGTCCCCAAACCACAGATCCCAGAGGAGTCTTGCTCTGTCCCTCTGGGCACACCATCCTCCTAGAGGGGTGATGGGGCGTGAGATGGGCCAAGGGGGTGGGGGGCAGGTTCTTTGGGGCTTTTGCAGTTTCCATCGACCTGGGGGGATCTCAGAACTCGCCTCCACGTCTCCGCCTCTCCACCTCCGCTTCCCTCAGCCAACACTTCCCTCTCCCTCCTGGCACGTTCCTCTCTCCTTCGCCAACATTAGCCAAAAGTCCCCCTTCTGGACTCAAGGGGGTCAGGGTCCCTCCTCAGGCCCCTCCATCCCCGCTGCCCCGGCCTGGGCTCATCTCTTCTGGCCAGCACTCTGCATGACCTTGGAGACGAAGTTGACGATGGCCGAGGCGGGCTGGTTGGGGTCCAGCTCGGCGAAGAGGTGGCAGGCATTGTCGGCCGTGCTGCCCTGCTTCCGCGCCACGAAGCCGAAAAGCCTGTGGGGGTGGGGTGGGGTGGGGGGCACCGCGTAAGGGATGGGCCATCGGGCCAGGAGCCCATGCCTTGGGACACAGCCCTGGGGGGTAAGCTTCTTTCCAGAGCAGCCTCTCCCCACCTCTCCACATGGCCTTGGGGACGGGGGTTTGGGCTCTAAGAGGAACTCCCCTCCTTTCCACTGACCAGAAAACCAAATCAATGCCAGGGGCCGTGGCTTGATTTGCCCCAGGACTGGGCAGACACGCCCTTTGATGGGGACAGGGAGGGGCAGCCTGAGGTAAACACAAGTCTGGATGGGGCCAAAAATAAAGTGGGGACATTCCTTGGCGGGCTTCTCCCAGTCCACCCCATCCAGCCCACTGCCTATATTGCAGCATTAGCTGGCGGTGAATGAAGGCCATCTGTGGGGCCAAGGCAGACGCCACAGGTCAAGGTGACCAAGGACAGCGGGTGGCCTTCTCCTCAAGGCTCACACTATTCCTCCTGGGCTCACCAGGCCCACAGGAAGCTCAGAGGGACCCCCAGACCTGCTCCCTCCCCGTCCCAAGCCTGGAGTGACCTAACATTCTCTATGTGCAAACCAGAGTTAAAAATATGAGCTCAGGGAACAGAATGTGAGCTGAGGTCCCTCCCAGCCGGCAAGTTGCTAATTCGGGCAAGACGGGAAAGCAGGGCAGCTGGAGATTCCGATGGAAACCCCGCTCCCTTGGCCGGGCCTCATGGCTGACACGAGCCACATGCACACATGCACACACTCACACACACTCACACACACAGCCATACATACTCAGATACGGTCTCACATGCACACACAGTCTCACCAGGCACACAAGCATACACACACTCACACACACACACACACACACACACACGCACACAGTCTCACAAACACACATTCTCTCATACGTGTTCTTTCTCACGCAGTCACACACATACATATAATACCACACTCACACACAAGACTCACACACGGATACACACGCAACACCACACTCAGACACAAAAACACACCGCAGTCTCACACACGTACACACACTCACACGAACAGACTCAGTCTCCGTCACATGCCACAATCGCACACCCCACATCTGTCTCTCAGTCACACACAGCCCTAGGCTTCCTACGTCTCTGCTCCCCTCAACCGTGTTTCGGGGGCCAAGACCTGGAATGAGGGTCTGCCCCAGCAACAAGGCACTGTGGAGTGGGGGAAGGTCAAAGGAGGGTGGGCTCTGCTCTCTTTGTGAGTGCCTACCACCTGCCCCCCACCACGATGTTTTACTTCAGCAGGGGTTCCCTGGGGGCCCAGGGTCAAGTTCACCCACAGCACCTCCTGCCTTCTGCCTGGGACAGTGGATGAGGGCAACCAGCCTCACCCCACACAATCCTGAGATTCACCCTGGTTCGGGGCCTGAGCTCCCCTTAGTGGCCCCCTCAGCCTCTCCCGGCTGGCTACCTCTGCCCACCCAGCAAGGCTTCTTCTGAAAGAAGCTCAACCCCAGACCAGCCGCTGCCTGAGAAGGAGAGGGATTTAAGAATTCTCTAGCCTGGGGCCCAGCCCACTTCTACCCCAGACCCTCACCCTCTCAGGGCTCAAGAGAGAGTACATTCGAGCCCCGAGCCTCCCCCTCAAGCCTGACAGTCTGGCCTGCACGGGACCATCCCACGGGATGCAGCCATGTGGCCGAGGGGCCTGTGGACCCCAGAGGGGGAAGGAGGACAAGGCTGACCCCACCCCTTTCAGCTCAGCTCCTAACTCTGCCTGTGACCACAGGAAAGGGAAGTTCCTTCAAGGTGGCCCCAACTCTTCATTAGCAGGGCAGTGCGTTCCTGACCGAGGTGGCCTCGCTGTGGCATCCCGGCACGCCCAACCCCTCCTCTGCTATGCACATTTTCTCTGGACACACAGTGCCCACCCCACCCCACTTCTGCCTCTCAAGGACCTCACTGGCTGCAGGTTGGTCTGCCCACCCCCCTCTGGTCTCTTGGAGGCTGTACCCTTTCTACCTGCTTACTTCCGGGCAGACTTTTCTCCAAACCACTGACCCTGCTGCATCTCCCCCACCCCCTACTTCTGGGTTCTCGTGCCACCCCCGCCACCCTCCTCAAGAGTCACAAAAACTGGCCAACTGGGGGAGAGGAGGGAGAGAGGGAAGAGGAGGGGCCACACTTACTTTGCAGGGGCTCCACTCTCTGCTTTCATCCACCTGCAGAGAGACAGAAAGCATGGAATCAGTGGTGCCCCTTCTGCCCTAGCCCAGCCCCATCCACACCCAGCCCATCAGGGCAAGGTGGGAGCGCCCACCCCCCCACCCAGGGCTAGAAATCTCTGGGTTCATACACAAGTATTCCAGGGGACCTGAGAGCACAGGTTGTACCCCTGGGTACTGTCCCCACTTGGAGAGCAGCGGACTGGGGGGGGGGGGCAGCACGGAGAAACATGGCAGAGTGGGGGGAGAAGGGCACTTGAGTCCTGGGGAGGACCTTGTATGTGTGAGAGAACGATTCCAAAAGATGACCACAGCAGGTCACATTCCCACAGACAACACCGGCAGAGCTCCAAGTGGAAACACGCGGCACACACGCACACACACAGTGGTGGAGAGCTTGGTGGGAAGGGAGGTGGCGGTCGAGACTCACTTTCTCTCCTGGGGGTCCAGAGCGCAGAAAGTGACGGTGTTGAGGGGATAGTGTCTCCGGAAGAAGAGCCTGTGGCAGAGATGTCGGATGAAGAACAAGGATCAAGGGAGAACTTGGCCCCCCCCTTTGTGCCTGGAGGTCAGGCCCCCTTCCCACTCTAGGTGGTAGGTGTGGTGACACAGCCCCCGCCCCCCTTACTTCCACGAGAGGGCCTGTGCTGCTCGCTGGAGACGGAGAGCAGCCCAGCACCATAACCCACGGTGGCACCAGGGCTCCGTAGGCAGTGCACAGAGGCAGACAGATTCCATAAGGAAACGTCTTCAAACTTCTAGTGACCAGGAAAGGAAAGGAGGGGCTGACACTGAGGAGTGAGAACTCAGGGGACCCAGGAGGAGAAAGAAAGGGGACCCTATTGGGAGAGGGCTGAGGGGAAGAGCAAGGGTAAGCTGTCGGCCCACAGATTATCCAAGAAGAAGGATGAAAGCTCCTAACAGGGAGGGACTCTTACCAATTGCATTTAAAGCCGTATGTCCAAGACAGGACTATTTGCCGGTGGAGGGCTCAATGGGTAGAGGGGAAAATGGGAGGAGTGGGTAGTTGGGGAAGGGTGGCCCCAGGGATGGATGGATACATTGTTGACTGGCTGGACAAGTGAATGAATAATTGATGGGCACACAGATGGATGGAGGAGTAAAGGGATAAGTACGGACATAGGAGAGGATCAACTGGTAAATGCATGGATAATAGATGGGTGATGGATGGATGGATGGATGAATGAATGTATACGTATGTATGTATGTGTGGATGTATGCGTGGGTGGATGATAGATGGGTGATAGATGGATGGATGAATGTATGTATTATGTATGTATGTATGGATGGATGGATGGATAGATGGGTGATGGGTGGATGGGTGAATGAATGTATGGATGGATGGATGGATGGAGGATGGGTAGGTGGACGGACAGACAGGGGATGGGAACAAGAGCCCAATGCAGAGAGCAGGTGGAGGGTTCTTACTTTCTCTGGTTGTCAGTCAGTGTGATTCCCTGGGCGGAGACCTTGAAGTGAACAATGGTGGCAGCTGGCGTGGGGTCAGCAGCCAACGTCTCAGAAGTGGCTTTGGAGATGGCCTGTGGCCCAGTGAGGGACTCCATGTCCACAGAGTTGACAAACAGCACGTTGCAGGCTGGAAGAAACCCACCCAAGGAGTCACGGGGGCCCAATGTCCCAGGTCCACTCCTCAAGAGAGGGACAAGAGTCCATATTGGGTCAGCTCGAGGCAAGGCGCTGCACACAGAAACGTGGTCTCTGCCCAACGGTGCCTGGGTCCGGGACACACTTCCAGCCTGCGCCTTCAGGAGGAGCTGGGCAGGGAGGAGGGGAGGTCTGGGCAGGGACCCCGCCCCCGCTGGTCACTCACCTGCCCCTTGCTTCAGCAGGTCGGTGGTTGAGTTGGCAGAGCCTGAGCTATCTTTTGATTCATCTGTGGGGTCTGAAACAAGAATCCCGCTGGTGATTAAAATGCTGGAGCAGAGAAAGCAGGCGCTTGGCTGGGCCTAAGGGGGCAAAGCTAAGAACCCCAGACCGCTCTGCAAACACTGTCTGAAACAGAGAGGACTTTTCCTAAGAGGCCTGGCCACTGGTGCTGTCTGTGCTCAGTCCAAACATTCAAAGGCAACACTAAGTATTCAGCACGCAGGCTAAGAGCTCTGGAGCCCGGCACTTAGTCTCTGTGAAAGGGAGATGCTGGTAATAGGATTGCTGTAAAAGGGAGATGCTGATAATAGGATTGCGTTGATTTGGAAGCTAGTCCATGGGTCATGCTTAGCTCAGCACGTGGCACAAAGCAAGCCTTCAAATGGCAGGGGTTGTTGTCACGGAGGCTGTGGTGCTGGGATCGAGGTGATCAATGAATATCCTGATTCACCAAAACACACACACAGCCCAACTATCACTTCACAGGAATAACGCTCCAGTATTGCTCAGACTTGGGGTTTTCTTGTTTCGACTGGTGTTTTTCAGACTTGGGTTTCTTAAAATAGAGATCGTCATGCCCCGTCTCTCAGCATTTCTGATTGGCTCAGGGGGTTACATTTCTGACAACACCCAGATGATGCCAAGGCTGCTGGTCAGGGGACCACGCTTGGAGAACCACTGGTTGATACAAGGTAATGATCTAACCATTCTAGAACAGTGGAGCTACCACGAGCAATTTGGTAGAAAAATAATTTCATTCATGTCTACATTGCGTGGTTAATAATGCTATTGAAATCGTATTTAAACCTGCAAGTTTAATAACATCATAACAGTGGCCAATTATTATGAATCATTCCATGGGCTAAACTGGACCCACTGGAACTGTCAAATAGCATTGGAGGCTGCAGGTGTGGGCTAGGAGCTCCAGGAGAGACTG